GGGTTTAGGGGTTCAGGGTCGAGGGCTTAGGGGTGTGGGGTTTAAGTGTTTAGGGTTTAGGGTTTAGGGATCAGGGGTTTAGGGTTTAGGGTTTAGGTATCTCGAGAAGCGTGGTCTGGAATAAGTCTGCTTTTGTTTTTGATACACTTCGAGTGAATCTGGTTTAGGGCTTAGGGTATTTTGCGAACACCTACATACTTGGACTGCGGTTGGGAGCATCAAGAACATACTCACATAAACCCGAGATCCTAAAATCTAAACCCTAAACCCTAAACCCTAAACCCTAAACCCCTAAACCCTAAACCCCTAAACCCTAAACCCTAAACCCTAATACTCACATAGGCTTATTCGGGACCCCTCTCCAAAAGTGTGAACCCGAGTCCCCAATGAGCCCTAAACCCTAAACCCTAAGCCCCCACCGTTTAGGGTTTAGAGCTTATGGGGTTTAGGGTTTAGGGTTTTTCAAGGGTCTTTTAAGGGCTTATAGCGATAATAGGGTTTATGGGGTTTAGGGGCTAGGCGCAACCCTGGATTCTCAAAGTTGGAGCAAAAGCCTCCAAGAGCCCTTGCTGCAAAGTCACCCGAAGTCGCAAGAGAGCTTGCTTCTTGCGGTGGAACAGGGTCTCGTACCTTATTGGGGCGAGCTGCGTGGGTCTCTTAATTACATACAGTGCAATCTTGCAAGCAAGGGCTACAAGGGAATAGTTCGAATTGGTCAAAGCCGTGAGGTGGCACTGGGCATAGGGTTGCTCACTTGCTGGCCCCAAACCCCAAACCCTTAAGCCTAAACCCTAAACCCTAAACCCTAAACCCTAACCAACAGTAAACACAAGAAGCATCGGAGCCAAAAGACTCCTGCAAGAAGAAGTGGCGAGGGGGCAACCCGACAGTCTAAACTTTTTCTCACAGTTTAGGGTTTAGGGTTTAGGGTTTAGGGTTTAGGGTTTACATTCTGCATGACTCCGGCAAGCCCGAAAAGCTAGAATCAGCTAGAACACACGCACTCGGGCTGATCAGATGTGATTAGCATTCGGATCCTTTACACTTGACTTCAAGGGCAGCAGGATCATGTAGGTGTAGCATTCCGGCTTCTTCTCCAAGAAAATGTGGGATTCGGCTTGCTGCCGCGGAGCTGTTCGACCTTTCCTCGGCGATGCAAACAGGTCTCTTGCTAGAGCTCTGAGGTCTACCTAGACTCTTAATATATTGTGGGGGCCTTATTATTGGAATAGGGTTTGGGGCTGTTGAATTAACATTATAATAAGGAGCCCTAACAGCAATATTGGTAATTATTTAAGCTTCTATAGTAAGGCCATTTGTTGGGTAGCCTATGTTGTGTTTGGATCCTGCAATTTTCTCAGTAGGATGATTTTAGCCAAACCCCAGCTAACGTGCCTACAACCCCAACCTTTACTACCTGACCAAGACCCCCGAACAGTCTCTGGCAAACGCCAAAACCCTCCACAAACCAACCCAAACCCTAAACCCTAAACCCTAAATCGCAAACCCCGAGTCCTACAAGCTAGACGTCGAAGCCCCTTGTAGCAGGACTTGGGTCGTAATGTAGGGGCCTTAATACTTAGAATAGGGTTTTGGGGGCTCCTTATTATAACTATGGGATAGTATACCCCCAAAACCCTATTCTAAATATTAAGGCCCCTATATGATGCCCTGCCTTCTTCCCTCATGGGAGAACCATTCCCTCAACCCGAAACTGCCAGGCAAGCGGACAGCAGACGTTTTCGGGTTCAGGTGTCCGAACCAAGAAGAAACTAGATCGTAGACCCTAGCCTTTTAACCCTAACCCTAAAACCTAAACTAGGTAATAGAAACCCGAACATCTCAAAATCCAATACAGACCCGAAATCGTCCCTTTGTCCCGGAATCCCTATGAAACCTCCCTTGACAAGCCTCTGATCACCCGTGGACCTCAAATTGGCTCAAGACAACAACGAGATGAGACCTCACCTAAGAACAACTCAACAATGCAAGAACCCACACCCTCAATCACTAGACACTGAGCCGCACACTCTTCAATCAAAGCATCGAGCCGAAGCTTTAGACCACAAATCCCGAGACTGTATGGGTAGTTCTCTAAACTAGGGTCCCTTCTGGGGTCCTCTTCATCAGGGTGCCGTACCATTTTGCGGACCTAAAACGGGACCAAAATTTAGAGACTACCCATAGACATACAGCCTAACACTTAAATCCTACGCCTCTTGAAGGAATCCTTATGAGAGTTTCCGGAAATAGGGGACCCTAATATAGTACCCTAAATAGTAGGACCCTTAGTATAAGGATCCTTGTTATAAGGACCCCAAAATAAGGTACCCTAATTTTTGGAAACTCCCTTATTGCGGTCTTGAAGGCCCTAAACCCTAAACCCTAAACCCTAAACCTTATTGCGGTGCCAGGAATCGTACGTAGTAGCTGTCGTCCAAGATCGCCAGCAGAGGCTCCGCCCGGCAGAGATAGTATCGCTGCGCATAGACGGGCCAGATCTCCTCATTAGAGTTTAGGCTATAGCGGTGTAGGGTTTAGGGTTTAGGGTTTAGGGTTTAGGGTTTACTGAAAGGATCATTCTGGAGTTGCTATATGTTACTATCAATCTCCTCATTAGGGTCGCTGACTGCATTCTCGTAGAGTTACTGTAGCAATTACAATGGGAGTTAGGAGTTACTATAGCAGTATAGGAGTTAGAGTTACTATGGCAGTTACTAGAGGAGTTAGAGTTACTATGGCCGTTACTACAGCAGTTACTATACTATAAACCCTAAACCCTAAACCCTAAACCCTAAACAGACTATAAGGGTGAAAACAAGGATCTCTCCTAGGATGGGATTCCGGCTATTAGCCCAGTCTTGAGCGCGTTCGAGTACCCAGAGACTCAACCAAAAAAGGAGAAGGTCCTTTCTATATGCTGTGATGTATTTCCCTGGTACAGGGCTGTTGAGTCTCTACCCTAAACCCTAAACCCTAAACCCTAAACCCTAAACCCTAAACCCTAAACCCCAAACCCTAAACCCTAAACCCTAAACCCTAAACCCAAAGCCTTGCCATAGGCCCCGAACCCCAAATCCCGAGCCCCTGACCCCCCACAACCCGGAATTAAAGCTCCCAACACCGTTGTGGTCTTCTTCAGGGCTAAAGGGCCTCAATGGTGTAGGTTTGGGACAGCTTAAACTCGGTTTGATGTTTGAGCTTTTCGGGCCTATGGTTTTGGGGCTTAGGGTGTAGGGTTGAAGGGTTATTTAGAGTCTACAGGAACCCTAAACCCTAAACCCTAAACCCTAAACCCTAAACCCTAAACCCTAAACCCTAAACCCAAAGCCCTAAAGCTCTTGGCACACCGTGCGGCATTTCCTAGACTTCCAGTCCCTCAAGTTGACATCCGCTTGGCTAGGCATGCCTTGAAAGTGAAACGGAAGGATTAGGGCTTGGGCTTTAGGAGTTTAGAGTTTAGGAGTTTAGGGTTTAGGAGTTTAGGGTTTAGGAGTTTAGGGTTTAGGAGTTTAGGGTTTAGGAGTTTAGGGTTTAAGGGCTTAGGGTTTAGGTGCTTAGGGTTTCGGGGTTTAGGGTTTAGGGGCATAGGGTTTAGGAGTTTAGACTTTAAAGGCTTAGGGTTTAAGGGCTTAGGGTTTAGGGTTTAGGAGTTAGGGTTTAGGGGCTTAGGAGTTTAGGGCCTAGGGATTCTAGTGTGGAGAGGGTATGAGTGGTCCTTGCACGTCGGGCGAGACCCCGAAGCACGTGTACAACCCACAGCTCATGCAGCTGTAACCCTATGCACCTACAACTACTGTAGGCTTCAGGGTTTAGGGGCCTTAATAATGAGAAATGGGGTTTGGGGGCTCCTGTATAAAATTGTAGTATAACATACCCCCAAATCCTATTCTAATAATTTAAAGCCCCTATATTACCCATGAAGCTTTGTGGTTTGGGGGCTCCTTAGTAAGTTTGTAGGAAAATAAACACCACAAACCCTATTCTAATTAGTAAAGCCCCTATATTACCCATGAAGCTTTAACACCTTGCATTTAAAGGCCAGGCGCCCGCCCGGTCTTGTCTCGCACATCTACGATCTTTGTGTCCTCCGTGGCGACTCTTGATTATTTGCCACGTTGCGGCTTAGGGTTTCGGGTTCAGGGGCTTGGATTTTGTGGTTTGGGGATTGCTGGGGATGAACTTTCAAAACCCACTCTGCCAGGTTGGGGGGCTCAGGCTTACGACCCAACATCCCTCAGTACTACAGGACCAGCCGTCATTTGCAGCAAATCCCGTCAAATACG